TTATATCTCTGATTTTTCCAGCACCTTTGGTCCAACCTGATCCTAGACAGCAGAGAGAGAAACAGAAGGAGATGGCAAAAGAATTCCAAAGTGCTTGAATAGTGAGGCTCTGTGATCAGTGCCCAGGAACCCAACACCCAGCCCTGGCTTCTTCCCTGATTTTTTCCTGCTGTTCAGGATGATAGGAATTGTCAATCCCAGCATATTCATGTTGTAAATAAAATACAGCTTGCTTTTTTCCTTTTCTTTTCTTTTTTTTTAATTTTTTTTTTCAGTTCTGCTTTCTTGTCTCTCTCCTCCTCGTTAATCATCCCGAGACAGCAGCAAAGGAAATCCCATCTGTTGCAAGCAATTGCTTTGGGTTTATTTGGTGGCCCAACATTTTAATTAGGTATTGGGACCTGCCTCCTTTTCACTGCAGAAATAGAAGAGAAATGAAAATATATTTCACAATCCTGTCTAATGATGGAGAAAAAATACATGAGGAAATAGATTAGCTTGAAATTAGAGGTTTCTTTTTGCTGTAAAAGCTCATTTTTGATGCCTTTTTTCCAGCTGAGTTGGGAGGGATGTGTCTGACACTGATATTGCTGCACAAGGGTGTGAGAGTGGGGGGATGCAGTAATAGATGTGCTGGATGAAATCTATTGTAAATCATTAATAACAATAACATTAATTATTAATGCACATCCTGGCCTAATGTTCACTCATTCCTGATCCATCTCCAGCCTCCTCCAGCCTTTCCAGTGGCTCAGGAGCAATGTCAGCATGGGGCCTGATTCATTTTATTTTTATTTTATTGCCCTTTGGGGAGGGGGTTGTGAATGACCCCAGTCCTGGGGTCTGGCACAGTGATGGTTCCACGTCACACAGAGCTGGCACTAAAGGTGGTGGCTCCCAACGCTGCCCTTCAATCCATGATTTCCTCTTTCCTTGTTGCCACACTCAGACACTTCTCCCTTCCTGGCTGTTGTTCCAAAGCATCTGATGGAACATTTTGCTCTCCTTATCTTCATTCCCTAATTCTACAGCTCCCCTTTCTGGCCAAGGATTGAATAAGGCCAGTCCAAAGGGATTCTGCTCCGTCTCTCCAGCCAAACCTCCTGCAGGAGCTGGGGAACACTTCCCTGGGCACAGCACATCCTCCCAGCCAGACACAGAATCCATTTTCCATTATCCAGAGCCCTTTTCGTGGTGACTCTGAGGACAATTTCATCTTGGCAGCTGCTCAACAGTTGATGATCATGGAAATGTCTCCTAAAAACCAGGATTGGGAGTGGTTTCATAAAGTGCCCCTGGCACTTGCTCTGTGCCCACAGACATGGAGGAATCAAGGCAGAGAAAGGAAATTAATGCTGAGAGTAAATCTAATTCCCCTCAGGGAAAGTGGAGTGGGGAGAATTGGTCACTGCAATCAGTTCAGAGATTCCCAGAATGGTTTGGGTTGGAAGGGACTAAAAAGACCATCTTATTCCAACCCCCTGCTATTGCCAGGGAATGTTTCCCTGCACTAAAAATCACTAAATCCCAAAAATGTTCAGTGAAAGGTAAGATGACATTCCTGATTTCAGCAGGAGCAGCTCTTCCCAATGCTGCTGGGCCTGGCCTTGATGGGATCCCTAAATTGTGGAAGCCATAGAAGAAGAAATATAAAAATATCCAAATTTTGTTTAGGAGAACCTAGTACTCCCTGGTAAATAAATATTATTATAAAGTAATTATAATAATAATAATAATAAACCAAAAGGCTTCAGAAGTAAATATATAAATAAGGACATAAAAGTCCTTGAAAAGCTGTATAAAGTGGATATGTGCAAAACCAGGGTTCAGGACTCTCCTGTCTGGCATATTTTGCTTGATTTAAAAGTTAAGCTGCAAAATATCAGGACTTTAAATTGCTGATCTCTCTAAGCCCTCCCTAAGCCATTTCCCTCCATTCAGAATATATTTAGCAATGAGGATTTCAGCAAAACGAAATGTTTGAGACAAATTCATCCCTCCAGTGACCTCACTGGTTCCAAAAAAATGGGGTTTGTCACCCCTTTGGGATGGCTTACAGACACCAAACTGAAGAAATTAATTGAAATTCCTCCTTTGAAAAAGGTGCCTCAGGTGTTTCTTTTCCTCTTCCAACTACAAACACGGCCTTGGTGGGGAGGGCTGAGGGACACACCTGATGTGGGCCTTGGGAAGCACACCAGGCTCACCCCAGGAGCAAAGCAGGGGGATTTATTGCAGGGATGGAACTGATGCATATTTGCAGGAGGCTAAATTTAGCAGCTGACATAAGTTTCAGAGGTGGAGTCTGTAGCCACGGTGCTGTTTCCCTATAAAGGCTGTGAGATAGTTTGCAGCAATCCTGCAGTGATGTAGCTGAGGGGGAAATATGTGGGATGGCTAAAAGTGAATTTTTTTAATAAATCCTGAATTTCTGCAATATGTGCTAAGCAGGTGCTGGAAAAATGGGGTAAATTTTGGTGTGTTTCTCCTCGTAGCTGAAAGGGTTTGGTGTTTTTTCTATAGAAAAATTAGAATTTGTGGCATATTTTGACAAGTTGTTTCAGTTGCAGCACTGTGGATAACATTTAAATTGTTTGTTAGGGTGGCTTTACTCATCTGAAGTGATGAAAATTAGTGGTTACAGCAGAACCAAAGAGCACATGTAAAACCTGAGCTGTTTCTTCTGTTTGTTGGAGAATTCAGCCTAAAATTCCTGTAATTTCTTCATCACTTTGTGATCTAAACAGCTCATTAATCCCAGACAGGATCTGGGTGTTCTTTGGAGTGTTTCCATCCAGCTGTTTTAGGAAGCTGTGGTAAAAATTCCACAGGTTTTATTTCCACCTGAGTCCATCTTTAGCATCTTCCAGCACTCTGTCGAGCTAGGAATTTTCATCTCTGCAGGATCCACCCTTCCCAAGGCAGCTCTTGAGAGGATTAGGCTTCAATCAGATTTCTCAGGACAAATTTCACTTTTGTGCCCTCTGTGTGTTACTTTCTTTCCAGTTGGAGGCCAAAAATCTTCTTTGGTTCCCCTTCTAAGCTGGTGGGCAGTGCTGGGTGCTGCTGCCTTCATTCCTGCTTTCCAGCCCAGGCTAAAGCATCACTTGGCACATAATTTAAATATCAGATTTATAAAATTTAATTCCCTCACCCAGTTCTGAGACTCCTAATAAATTAAGGATGGGCAAGCAGGACTCTCAGCTCTATCACTGACTCATTCTGTGACCTTCAACGCACCATGTACGTACGTGGAAAATGTGAATCACAACCTAAACTCCCTAAACTCTGGGTTACCTTCAGCTCTGCTCCAAAGCTGCTTTCGTTTTCTTCTCCTTTAGCTTTAAAGGGATTGTTTGAGGGAGCAGAGTGGTGTAATTGTGCTGGGCTGGTTTTCAGAAAGAAGCTGTTGATTAATTTCAGGGCAATTGTTGTCATGGGCAAGGGTGCAGCCTTGCCACTCCAATCTCTGTTTGTGTAATTTTTTTATCAAGGTGTTGCTCAGTAGGTGAGAGAGGCTTTCCTGCTTGTGGATCAGCGGTTACATTTGGTGTCAAAGGTTAATAAATGCAGGATAACATTTGTTTAATCTGTAGCTACTGATGTTTCCATCAGCTGTGACAGTCAGACCAGGACAAATGTATCTGGGGGTTTTAACACCAGCTATCACTCACAGGGGGTAACTCATGGTCCTGTCACTGCTCCATGGGGGAAGAGCAGGGCTCTCAGCTCAGCTCATCACGACACATATTCCCCCAAATTCTGAAGGATTAGAAGAGAAATTAGCAGGGTGATGCTCCCCTAAAACATCACCCCACCCCTTAAGCATCAAACCACATGCAAATGAACGTGCAAACGTCGGCCCAAGCCGATGAGGAAGCTCGAGGAGTTTTGGTTTTGGCCATGTATGGTAACACTGAGGGCTGTGGGCTCCGCTCGGGTGTTCTCACCCGCCCCTCGGGCTCCCTGAGGCCGCGATAGCCCCGAGGGTGGCGGTGTCACCTGTGTGCAGCCAGGTGTGTGTGTAAAGTGCTTGTCCGACCTGTCGCGACAGATACACACAGATACAAACCTTACACCTTGAAGCGCAGCATCCCCAAATTGCCACAGTGCAATGGGGAGAACCTCTGGTCTCAAAGCTCTGCCATGGTGTCTCGTTGGAGTGTGGTTCTTAGCTGGAGTCGAGCTCTGCAATCTTTAGCAGGAGCTTTTGTCACTGTCCTTTTTTCACCACAGCCACCGTGATTTGGTGTGACAGCGTGAGGTGACGCGGTTGTTTTCTTGTGGAGCTCCTGGTTCTCCTCAGCGTTGCCTCTGAGGACAGCAGGCTCATCTCACCCCTCAGGGCGGACGGGGCCGATTCTTCAGGGACGACACGATCAGTCCCCTCAGGGAGAACAAGATCTGTCCCTCAGGGAGGACATGACCATTCCCTCAGGGAGGACACGATCAGTGGAGGACGTGACCAATCCCGCAGGGATGTCATGATCGGTCCCTCAGGGAGGACATAACCGTTCCCTCAGAGAGGACATGACTGTTCCCTCAGGGAGGACACAATCGGTCCCTCAGGGATGACATGATGGATCCCTCAGGGCAGACACGGCCGATCCCTCAGGGATGAGATGATTGATCCCCAGGGATGACATGACCGGTCCCTCGGAGCGGAGAGGACTGGTTCACGGGGAAGGCATGGCCGGTCCCCACGGCGGACACGATCGACCCCTCAGGTCCCTCAGGACCTCCCGCCCCCACTCGCCGCTGAGGGGCGGCGGGGCGGGGCCTGAGAGCGCGCGACCGCGCGTGGTGGCGAGAGCAGCACGGCAATTGGCTGGTTGACCCGTCACTCACTACTTTGACCCGCCCCCACCGAGGGCGGCTGGAGCGGGCGGGGCCAGACTGAAGGGGCGTGGTCCTTTCTGGGCGTGGTCACTGGGGGGGCGGAACCCGCGGCCCCTCTGCCCCGCCCCGCCCCGCGGCGCTCAGTCGGGCGGCGGCGGCGGCGGGCGGAGGAGGAGGCGGAGGCGGCGGCTCCGCCGGGCTGAGGAGCGGACGCGGGAGGCGGCTCGGGATCGCGGTGCGGCTCGGGGGCGGTGAGGGAGAGCGGAGAGAACTGGGCAGCACCGGCCAGCGGAGCTGCGGCAGGGCGGGCGGCGCGGCGCCCGCGGGAGGGAGCCGGGCAGGGCGGGGGTCCGGCCGGGCGGGCCCTTCCCGCGCGGGGCCGCCGAGCCCTCCGTGAGGCGGCGGCCGCTGTCAGCGCGGGGCCCGCGGCGGCAGCGCCCTCCCCGCACCGCCTCGGCCCCGGCCGCTCCCCGCTCCCTCCTTATTAGGCAGCGGCGCGGGGTCGCCGCCGCATCCGCATCCGGCCGGGGCCGCCGGGCAGGGCAAGCCTGGGGCGGGGCGGCGGCGCCGGGCGCTCCCGCCGCGCACCTGATGCCGCGGCGGGGACAGCGCTGGGGGGCTTTTGTTTGGCACGTTTTCCCTTTTTTCTTTTTTTTCCTCCCCATTTTTTGCGCCCGGCGATGCAGCAGCCGCTCGGTGCCACCGGCGTGTGCCGCCCCCGGAGCGTCCGTCCCCGCCGTGCTCCATGGCAGAGGACAAAAGAATCCCCTGATGGGGATTTAGTTTGGGGTTATTTTTCGGAGGCTCCTGTAGAGCAGGTCCTTGTCACGCTGTTATTAGGGGCTCTTTGGAGGCTGTGCAGATGTGTGGGCTCCTCCTGGGCTGTGTGACATGTCATTGAATCACCAGGGGATCCCAGAATGGTTTGGGTTGGAAAAACCTTAAGGACCATCTCATCCCATCCCTTTGCTGCGGGCAGATATCCCTGGGCTTTGTTTTCCTATGCAGGAAGCCACGTTGTTTAACAGTGATGTGCCAAAGGCTGGAATTTAAATGCTGGTCCATACCTGTGCTTTATGAAATTCCCACTGATTCCATTAACAGCACGAGGGAAGATCTTGGACACATGGGCAGGTGTCTGACACAGAGAGAGCTTCAGCTGTAGGACATTCTGATGCCTTAACTGACTGATTGCACAGGAGGCAGGTCTGAAAAAAGCAGAAAATAAAAAAAAAGGCAGCGAAAGGTGCCAGGAAACAAAAGTGAGCCCGATGGAAGCAGTTTTATTGTTGAAGATAAGTGAGATGCGTTAGGGTTGGGGTTTTTTTTTAGCAGCTGGAGTTGGTCTGAGCACGTCTGTTCGTGCAGATGTGCGTGGGGATTACTGGAGCAAGACCAAGGACGATGGCAAAATCAGAGAGGGATGTTCTGAACGCACCAGGCTGCGGCTGATTTTTCATTTCGCTGCTGAATTTCCTGATTTTGTTTTAATTTTAGGCCAGGCTGTTCCCAAATTACCTGGTGCCATCCTCTCCCTCCGTGGCACGCACGAGGGAAGCTCTGGAGTGTGGGAAGATGGTGTGAACTGGCACAGCACGTCCTGGGAGCAGCGGGTTTGGATGTGGGGAAAGCAGCGGGTGCCGTGTGCGGGAGGCAGGAGAGGGTTTATTCCATTTTTCATTTGAATAACCAGCATTGAATCATCTTTTCTGCTCAAGGAGTGGGGGGAAAAATCCAGATGGCTGTGTGCTTGCAGGAAGGTTTTATTGCAGCTAATAGTGGTGTTTGCTAAGGACTGTGTACACAGAGGTAGAAGATCAAATACTTTTGTGGCAATGCTTGTTTATTTTGGGTATATGTGGTTTTTTGTGTTTTTGGTAGCCCCAGTAAGACCTGACACACATGGGGACATGTCAGGCAGCATTTGCTTGGTGTTTGTTTCAGTGCAGCACTTCATAATAGTAATTTTTCAATGGTCACTTGTAGCCTTTTATCCAGATTGCTTTAATCAGCATTTGTGCTCTCTGTTGGCATTGCTCTGTCTTCTCCTGAGCTGTCTTTTCAAACATCATTGGATTTTTTCAAGTGAAATCTTCATGCTTATTGCATCTGTCACTTCTGGGATTCACTCCAAGCGAGAGGCAGGGATTCAGTTTAATGGCAATGAGGAGGAATGTGCAGAAGGGGGAAATATCAGCTTTTCCCTGGGTGATGCAGCACAGGGTGCCGGGCTCTGCCCTCGCTGACACCGTAGTGGCCACGTCCAACATTTGATTAAATGGCTCATTAAACCAAAACCTTGTGTTGTGATGGGGAAGGGATTTATGCTCCTGGGTTTCACTTGGTGATCAATTCTGAGAATTATCCCTGGGATGCCAGCTTCCTATTCTGAAGACACGAGCAAAACACTTCCTGGCCTGAGTTTGCAGCTCGGTGAGGTCATCAGTGCACCACTCCCAGGGCCAGGAATGTCCTCTTGGGCAAGCTCACAGGCACATTTTCACTTGACTTTTTAAGTCTGGCTTTGTTTGTTTTGATTTTTGTTTTACTGAGGTTTTTGCGATAATCTCAGCCCTTCTCCGAGGATGTGTTGGAACAGAAACTCACTGAGGATTTGAAGTGCCCCAGTTTAAGCCTTTGCAGGGCATAGGAACAAGAATTAAATGTCTGTGCTCTCCCCTAGCTTGCTCCCTGTAGTCTCCCCCATTTAATATTTTTGGGCTGGCATATTCTGGTGGGTAACCCTGAAATTTGTGTGGTTAGAAACTGCTTAGAGCTTCGTTTTGGAGCCATGTGTGAGGAGTCAGGCTGCTGGCGGCTCGTGGCTGACAAGATGGGAACTGCTGAGTTTTTGTCACATTCTGCACAGTTGCTGGTGGTGGTGAACACCAAGTTAAAATGAAGCCCAAAAAGGTTTTGGGCTCAGCTGAGTGACTCAGGAAAGCAGCAGTGAAAGTTCATTTTTCTGGATGTGTTGGCTCCACCAGTATGGTTGGGAATTGTTTACTGGGCCTTTTCTTTTTATCTGTTAATGGGATTGCTTTGTTCTGCTTTTCCTCCTGTGAGTAACTCTGCAAAAAAAAAAAAAACATTGGATTATTTGTTTCTTTTTGAGGTTATAATTGTTCAGTACATGACTTTTTGTGGCTTTTCTCATCTCAAACCACACACAGGCATGTGAAATACCAGCGTGACACAGAACTGCTCAGCTGCTCCCAGGTTCCACTGGCAGCTTTGCAGGGCTTGTCCTTGGAGGAACAAATTGTCTGGAGAGGATCCTAATGGAATATCCCAGCCATTAGTTGTATCACCAGCCATTAGTTGTGTTCACGGGCTTGTGTAGGGAATATAAATCCAATCAGGATTAATGGCTGGAGGTAATGATGCAGGAAAAGTAGAAGGTGGCTGTTGGTGTGGCAAGTTGATAATTTGACTTTATTCCCCTCCCATGAAATTCCTGATGCCAATAAGACAGGAGGGATCCCTTGGAGAAAACACCTTCCTAAGGAGTCACAAAGTGCTCCTCAAATGGAAGAGGATTTTGTGATGGAACATCCTGAAAACTTTAAAATCCCGCTCTGTAGGTCAGGAAATTGAGAGAGAAATATTGAAAATGGCATCTGCTGGGAAACACCTGTGGGTTTTGAAGGTTTCTGATGTTCCCGTGGTGGATAGAAGAGATCTCCTTGGTCTGAAAGTGACAAATTGTGGCCTTTTGGACAATTTCTCCTCTGTGCTGATGATTTAGAGAGAGAACCAAGGCAGAATCACTGCACTAGGGAAAGGACAATTTCTTCAGCACGACCACTTTGCTTCTTCAACACCCCTGGCTCTGTTGGTGATAACAATAATGATCTCTAATCTGCTTTTTGCTGAGCCTGTGGTGACGTCTGAGGTCTGGATTTTGGTGAGAGAAGTTGCAGTGACTCTGACATTGAGCTGGGCCTCTCAGCCCAGCATAATTAGGTTTGTCTTGTTTTCCTTCTTTAATAATTGAATTTGAAAGAGCAATGGAAATAAACCAGTGGTGGGATGTGACTTAAAGTGATTAAAGCTCAGCCTGATGCTGAGATGAGCTCACAGCTCTCCTTGGGGTGTTGCTGAGCTGTGCTTGAGGCCAAATGTTCCCCTTAGGAAGAACCAGGGTTTCCCTGTGGTTTTCCACATTTTGGCTGCCATCTATGCAGGAACAAGCACATAGGTAATAATTCTTCTGAGCTGAACATTAAGGCACATTTCTGCCTTTTTAGCAGAAAAAATAAAACTCCATGGGAATGGTGTGCCTGAAACTATTCCTTGTTTGCATCCCTGTATGAACCTGGGCAGTGCTTTGCACCTGCAGCTGCTGGTTTAAGTAATCCCTGGAAAATGGAGTTGAAATCACTCAGTTCTGAGTATTTGGAAATAAGGGAACTTCCCCTCCCTCCCCCTGGTTCTGCATAGAGTTGCCATGGAGACTGTGTTCCTGAGTCCTTGAAAATCCATTGTTTCTCCCAAATAAACACAAAATCTGCAGCGTTAAAGCAGCACATTCTCCATCATCCCTTTCCTAAGCATTCCTTCATCAGGAACTGTTGTGGCAGAACAAGGAGCAATGGACTCAAACTGAAAAAGGGGGAATTTGATTTCGATTTAAGGAAGAAATTCTTGCCTGTGAGGGTGGCAGGGCCCTGGCACGGGGTGCCCAGAGCAGCCCCATCCCTGGAAGTGTCCAGGGCCAGGTTGGATGGGATTTGGAGCAACCTGGGAGCATGGAAGGTGTCCCTGCATGGCAGCAGCTGGAATGGGTTGGGCTTTGAGGTCCCTGCTAACCCAAACCAGTCTGTAAACCTGATGGGCACTTGACATTTTACAGCGTGCCAGACCTGGATGCTGGACAAACTGATAATGGGTGTAATTAGCAGCTCCAGGGATTAGCAGGCAGCAACAAATTCAGTCCTTGGGAAGCAGGGTGTCCCTTGGGAACTGGGCAAACTGGCCATGCTGGGCAGATGATGGCTTGATAGGGAAGATTGTCATCAGCAAAGCCTCAATGCTCAGGCACCTGCTCAGGGCTGGAATTACCTCCTGGAATTGCTTTTTTTTTTCTCCCCTTTTCACTTTAAATACTTAAAAATCCCTCATGGTTTGTTGCTTCCTGCTGGAATCTGCATTCCCCAGCTGACTCAGGGTGTCTGCTTGGCATTTCCTTGGCATTTTCCATCGTACCTGTGTGAAACAGATTGGGATCCTTCC